TTATTATTTATTATTCGATATTCGAAATAGAAATTAAAAACCAATTCTAATTTCATTTGCTAAGAATATGGAAAAAATTGATTTTTTTGTTTTGTTTGCTTTTGTTGTTTGTTTTCGTATTTTTTTAGAAAATATAAATTGAGAAAATTTCACCAATTTAATTCGATTAATTTTGACAATTGACCTATTCGCTGTACGTCGACTTTGATACCGGATGTGCTTAGAGAGTGCTCAGGTGTATCTATTTAACTGGGAGTGGGTGGCGGCAGTGTTCGTAAAAAGAGTGGAAGAGAGACAGACAAAGAGAGAGGCTGGCAAAGAGAGAGACAGAGGCAGAGCTAGAACGTATTCATGAGTAGTCAGGGTTGAGTGTTAAAACAATACTAAACTAAATTAAACAATGATATGTATTCGTTTTATGGCCGAATAAACAAGCGAACAAAACTCAGGTAGGGCACAGGTGGCACTGGACACATGCATACCTCCGACACAAGTCCAGATGGAGTCGTAACTATGCATGTAAGCCGAGCCAAAAGAAGGACAAACAAAGGAGTTGAGTTATTGAAGATGCTAAGGGCGATCTGGACCTGTGGACCTGTGGACCTGTGGGAACAGCTTCTGTTGATTTCCTATAGAGAACACGCCAAATGCTAGTGAAGAAGAAGAGTAGTCAAGATGCGCTTGTACTAGATTTAAGGCTGGGAGCAAAAGAAGTCTGCTTATGGCTGCTAGGGCTTTATCGTCTAGTTAAGTATGAAATGTTCTCATGCTTATATATATGTATGTGTGTGAGAGTGTGTGTGAGTGGGTGTGTGGTGTATAAGTATTCATTATAATCGTAGCTAATACAATTCGCATTGACTTAGTATATTTATATAATATTATTTGTATTTATTTATTTATTTATTAATTATTTTCTTCGCTCGTAGTTAATATTGCGGCAAACACTTTGAAAAATAAAGTTTTGCTTTGGAAAAAGAACACGTTACGATATACGATATACGATATACGATATACGATATACGCTATACGATATACAGTATTCAATATTCGATATTGGCTCTTAACATTAGGTATATTCTGAGTTAAGATATTTTACAATTGCTTTCTTAGTTCAAGTTGAGTTACAATTCTCATTTGCCTTGCCGAGCCCTGCGCCCCTCTCTAACTAGTTCATTATGAGCTGCATGCCTTACACACACACACATACACATGTGTATGTGTTTGTGTACATATGTGTATGCACACACGTATCGCATTAACACTAACAACTAATGGCAATTTCCTTCTATTATGCAATAATATAGATTTGCTTTATGGATGTATATATACGAATACATATCTATATATATATATATATATATATATATATATATATATATATATATATATAAATGTATATATATATCGTTTATTATTCTAAATATTTAATATGTGATTTTTACATGATTCATATATATATATATATATATATATAGTTATATATATATATATATATATATAGTTTGTTTTCCGTTTGCATAGCATTCAGTATGTATTCAATTCTCTTACTTATTTTCTCTTTACTTGGCTTGAGACAAAAAAACACGAACAAACTAATTTGTTTTTGCTTTGTGTTTAATTATTATTTAGTTTCCTTGTACACCAAGTATTTTCATTATAATATTTGTATTCTTTACTTGTATTTGTATTTGTTTTAACTAGATCTTAGCCTTACGCGTATTTGGCTATAAGCTGTTTAAAAAAAAAACGCTTAGATTACTTGTTATTTATTTATTGTTATAATTATTGTTTATTCTTTTTCGTTTTTCTTTCTCTATTAGCGACCTAGCGATAATTTTCTTTTATTTTCCAATTGCTTTTCTTATTATCCTCAAACCTTGTGGGCTAAAATCTAATGCGTCTTTGAGTATGCTGCAGTGAGAAATGCGAAAAAGAAAAGCATAAAGAAAAACAAATATTTGTGGCCTAACAAGAAAGAATTTGTGTGTGTGTGTGTCTGTGTGTGTGTGGTCTAAATCCTGGCTTCATTTTGGTATGCCAACTGTGGCCAGGCTCGTGTCGCGTGGCATTGCAGCTGGCATGGAGCTGCCTGCCCCATTGGAACCCTCGAGTATGATTGCTATTTAGCTGGCAGTGACATTTGCTCATTGGCTTGGCTTGTCTGAATACGTCCTTGATTGTGACAGAATAATGCGCAACAGTGTGGAAGGAAGACAGTGATAGATATAGGTAAACAGAGAGAGAGAGAGAGAGAGAGAGAGAGAGAGAGAGAGCGAGACAGACACATGGAATTGAAGTTGAAGTTGGTGTTAAAGAGTTCGATTAGTTTCAGTGAGCTCGCTAATGCGACTTGCTTGGTCCGTTTTTATAGTTTTTGGGAGTCGATTCGTTTACGTATTAACAAAATACTAACTGGGCTAAAACCGAGAGGGGCAGCCTTACAAACAGAGTGCGCTTCAAAAAGTTTTCTGGACGGATTTTACAATTTGTAGCACGTGATGTGGTCAATTCGATGTGAATCAGATGAGCTAAGTAGAGAGAGACAGATAGACAGATAGAGATAGATTGTGCTCGCTATCTACATATACAAACAAACATACATACATACACACACATACATACATACATAATTGTTTGTGTAGACAACGGGAGAACGAGTCATGTGAGTCGTGACTTTGGCTCCACTGCAATTGGGGCAGCGCGCTTTAGCCTTCAGCGGCTGCAATGCCAACATGTGTGTGTGTGTGTGTGCTTTGACTTTATCAATTTATGATCAATTATGATAATTTGTGACAATTACTTAAAACCTCTCTCTATTCTTTGTTGGTCTATATCGTGTTGAATATGTTTGCAATTATCGCAATTGGAAATATTATGAATTATGCAGTTGCTTGGTAATTTGGTTTGTTTGTTTTTCATTTAATATAAATTTGCTCACTTTTTGTGGTATTTAATTGATTTATGCTATAAATGCTGCTGGGCTTGCTTAAAAACTCCACACACTGAACATTATTCATGATGACGGAAATAAAAGCTTCGTGTGCTTCAGTTAGCAATCTAATGTTGTGTGTGTGTAATTGAAAAATATGTGTGTGTGTGTGTGTGGGTATTATTTTCTGCTTCATTTTAATTTCTTTTGTTGTATTATTTTTGTTGGTTATATTTAATGATGCGCGCTACAGTTTGACCTAATTTAACTATGTGTGTGAGAGAGAGTGTGTGTGTGTGTGAGTGTATTCTCTGTTATTTTCTTGTTGTTAGTATTTATGCGTATTTCTTGTTGGTATTTTCTTTTGTTTTTGCTTTTTCATTTTACTAAACTGTCGCTGATATTTATTGATATTTTTTGTTCTTTACATTTAGTTTTGGTATAATTTTTCTTCTTCTTGCATACAAAATTGTTTGTTTTTGTTTTTTTTTTTTGCGTTTTAATTTTTATATATTTTTGTTTTGTTTTTTTTTTTTGTATTTTTATTTTTTGTATTTGTTTTTTAGCGGGTAATACAAATGCTTAGATTAAGAAAAAAAAGTTGTATCTTTATATATATATACTATATACGCATATATCTATATATATATATAGCAGATATATATATTTAAGTATAAGTAAGTTTAATGTTTAGAATTATTATATATGCTGTACTTAGTTAACCTAGATTCGAATACATGAACACTTCAAGATATCATTTTTATTTTATTTTGGTTTTTTTTTTTTGGTTTTAATAAGTGATTTAATTGAATTGAATTTAATCTAACTTTTGTTTTTGCCTGCTTTTCTTTTGCTCTCATTTTTGTTTGTTGTTTTTTCTTTCCTTCTTCTTTTCTGTAGCTTAATTTGTTTTTATTATAGATTTTATATTCACTCAATTTTTGCAGAATTTATTCAATTTTTTGCTTCGTTTTATTTATGAGAGACGAGTTTTAAGCTACTCTTCGTTTGTTGTTCTTCCGTGAAACAGTTGCAGCTGATGTTGTTGTTGTTGCTGCTGCTGCTGCTGGTGTTTCGTGATGTTTGCAATTGCAGTTGCTGTTGCAGTTGCTGATGCAGTTGTTGATGTTGTTGTTGGGGTTTTAATACAGAAATGCAATTATATACGCGGGCGTCGTCTCGACTTCGTTGGTGTCTTTGTTGTGTTGCTGCATGACAAGCAAAGTGAGGAGCAGGTGTGAGTGTGCGATGTGATGGGTATTCTGCTACGGGGCGTATGAGTAATGCCGCGCAAATGTTTAATGTGTGTGTGTGAAATTGTGAGTGTGTGTTTGTGTGAGTAAGAGAGAGAGAAAGAGTGTTGTTGTTCTTGTTCTGGTTGTTGTTGTTGTTGTTGATTTTCCTCGACTTTCCATTTCCTTCGAGCTATTCGAATCCTTTTTCCTTTCCTTTTTGCATACACACTTTGTTCTTGTCTCTGGGCAACATACTATTTTCATAACATTTTGACTTGAATCCATGGGGCATGCAGGCACTTGCAGGCGCCACGTGCAACGTGCTGCGATGTCCTTGGGCACAGCCAGATGGCAGCTGCGCCCAAACTCCTTTTCCTTCGGCTGCTACTCGTGATTGTTATTAATCCTTATTCTGTTCTTCGTCTATCGGTTTTGACTTTAATGTTCGTTGTTGTTGTTTGTTTGTTGGTTGTTGTTTGTTTCGTATTCCTTGCCTTTGACTTTAACTGCTGGTTCGGCTTAGTCCGCTTTCATTCGTTGTGTGCCTTGGGTCTATTGTTGAAGCTGATGCTTGTTCTAAGCCTTGTCGTTATCTTTATCGTTTGTCGTTATCGTTACGTTACGTTATCGTTATCGTTATCGTTAGTGAGGCGACTCTGTGCTTTACTCTCTTGTTGGCTGAAAATGACTTCGATGTGCTAGCATTGACGATAGTTTTTTTGGTTGTATTTGTAAGATACTTTTTATATTTTTTTCAGTTTTCTTTTGAACTTATGAAGCGGTTGCTGCTGCTGTTGCTCTTGTTGTTGTTGTACTAAATTGTTGAATGTTGTTGTTGTTGTTGTTGTTGTGGTTTTCATATTGAGACGACATATTGCATTTTGTATTGTTTCTAATACTCCCAATATCATGCATCCTGTATTTCACCTTTCAATCCAGGCACCCTGTGGTGTTGGTTATGTCCTAAGCGATTTGCTAAATCCTGTACAACATCACGAAATATAACTGTATCTATATTTTCACCTAATAAATACAACAAAAACCAATCGCCCATCTTGGAACGACGAACGATTATTTCAATTGCGTCTCGACGCACTAACCTACAAAGCGAAGAGAGAGAGAGAGAGAGAGAGAGAAAACAGTGTTAGAAAACGTTGCACAGCCAGAGCTAGTAAAGGACACTCACCTAAATCGCATTCGAAATAAATAGACCCTCATTCGAGGCGAGAATATAATAACCACCCTGTATATTAGCGTTAATAATGTGAGTAACGTTAATAATATAAACCAAAACCAAAGGAAAATGTAAATTTTCTCATTAACAACGTTTAATGGTAAAATGCAAATGGCGTCGTGCTTTTCCACCTATTCCAGCAAGAAGATGAAGTAGAAGAAGAAACAGATTGCATTAGTATCCACATCCTCGAGCAGCTGCAGCCTCAATACTCACCTCCCCACTTGAACCATATTTAAAAAATGTACATTTGGTCATTCTGGGAAATATGTAAATCATCGGATCCATGCGATCTTCCTGATCGGTCTCCATATAATCTATCACATCCAAGCCAAATGTCATAAATTCACCATCGAAAAATCGATTCATAAGAAACATTTGACCTGCGAAGCAAAATAAATATAAATTCATATAAATATACACACATATATATTTATATATATATATATATATATATATATTATATATATATTCAATTCCAGAATGAAATTTTGAATGCCGCGTGTTTATGTACTGTGGGAGGCCATGCAGAGCGTGTTTATAGAACCAAATTTGGAATAGTATAATTTACGAGTTCATTGCCAGCTCCGCGAGTGCGTGAACTCAGCTAAATCTGTTAACAATCCAATAAATTATGTCTGTCAATTGATGTATAGCAATTAGGTTCTGTTTCCGGTCTGTGCTCAAATTAATAATCGCAAAAACTGTATAAAAAGTCTACAAATTAAAGGGAAATTCGCTTGTGCCGCTCCGCCTGTGCGCTCATAGCTGATATTGTTACGGAAGCTATTGAAATTGGATTGCAGTAGATATTTTTTGGATCTCGACAATCGTATGGAGGCTTGTTGCCCTGTTCTCTAGATCCAAAATCGAGCAGAGTCCACCATATCTTCGACTGCTCAAGTGTTCTTATCGGCTTACTATTGCCCTTCCCTACAGATACATATATGAGCTGTTTTTTTAGGAGTTTTACACCTTTAAGTTGGCAAACCTGGTTTATTTGACAATCCCTGAAGCAGCTACTATTTGTCTTTTGTTGAGTTTGCATTGACATTTGCAAATTGTTAAAGTTTTAATCAAAATATTGTTTCTACTCGTCAAATCTATCGTCCACTTAGCTCACTTTATGGCCTACATGATGAAGCTGATTTGTATATAAATAATTAATGACAAATAATTTGGTATACAATAAAGCTCGTTTCATGAATAATAAAAATATAATAATTGTATTTAATTTGGCTTAAACTTGTGTAACGCTAATAGAAAAGAACCCAAATTAGTCTGCCCAAGGCTGCCTGACCAATGCTAAAATGTGAATCTGTTTTTGAGCCACAAGTGGTTGTACCCGACTGACAGCTGATTCCTAAGATATGAATAGTTTCAAATGTCAAATGTCTGCCCTGACATTACTCCACGATTGCCCCATCAAGAATCCATATATCCTCACATATCCGATCTGACCTAGCCACCCTCACAGTCGCTATGTACTGCATAGAGTCGTTTATACCTAGTTAATCAATATTTGTAACATGCTCACGATCTTAGCTATGCACTTGATCGACACCATTGAGCGTGAACTATGTCGAAACTAAAATGGAATTGCCTCGAATGGGATACATACGCTCCATTTGCCTCACTTCATTAATCGCATTTCTTGTAAACTCATCAGACGTCAACATTCAATTAGTCTGAACTTTGGTTGAATTTGTTAATACACAAATGTGTATGCGTGTGTATGCGTGTGTGTGCGTGTGTGTGTATACTTGCACATCTATAGTCAAATTAGTCTATTCTATAATTGTTTATTTCTTTATTTCTTATGTATTCTGACAGTTAATTATTTTGCTAGATTTCCGATTGTAGCGCACGTGGCGCACGTTGTCCGGGAAAGCAACAAAATAGAAATGAAAATGAAATCAAAATGAAAATGAAAATGAAAATGAAAATGGAGAAAAAAGAAGCCTGCAATCCGCAGCAGTGAGTAAAATTTGTTTATTTTGATGCGGCCTGCGGCTACGGTCAGTCGATAAAAATTCGTCATTGATTTTCCACGGAAAATGACTGAGTGAATTAGCAACATATACATATATATATATACGAGATTTATATATATATATATTATATATATATGCATATCTATATAGGTATATTCTGTATATACTAAAGATATTCTGTGTGGTTAACCCCAAATTTGTTTATGGATTATGCAAACTGGAGCATTTGCACCAGCTGCAGCTCTGCTGCTGCTGATGATGATGATGATGATGATGATGATGATGACGATGATCTAGTTGATCAGTGTTACTCACCTATCACATTTATTAGGGCGAGCAGCTCACACACGTAGTACCTGTACGCCCACCAATTGTGATATCTGCAATGGCACAAATTGAATTATCGAACTGCAGCTTGAAGCTGTTTGTAGGTGTTTGGGTGTGCTGCGGCGCTTACCTTAAATTTTCCCATAAATAATCTAAAAGTAATTTCTTTTTTTGTTTTTTCTCGGCTTCGGAACAAATGCCTATATCTAAGTCCATGATGAGCGCATGAATTTTGCCACCCTCCCAAGACTTCCACAGCCATCTTGGTGTGTAAAATAAGATTGCCTGCAAGTAAAGAGAGACAGAGAGAGAGAGGGAGAGAGAGACGCATGAGATATGATCCAGATAGATAGATATGTATATGTATATATTTAGTTCTGTAAAGGTGAGCTGTGGCCCCAGTGCAGTGTAGGCGTCTGTCGTAAAAGCGCTTAAGTTTGACAAGTGACAATTGCCAGCTGTTTGCTTAGCCGCAGGCCATGGCAAAGCCCGGCCAAGTAATTCCAGCTGGCAATGCCAAAGGTATTATATGATCAAAATTGCCTTTGCCTGACCTTCTGCGTGATATTATTATTTGCTGATTCCGTGACTTACTTACAGACGAGCAGGCATAAAAGATATTTTATATACATATAAATGTAGATGAATACATGTGTATGCAGGTATTTATAGACATGTCATCAAAACAATTAGCTGTGATCCATTAGCGAAAGTAGAAAAAAAAACAACAGAGGCGACACAGCCAACGGGCGAGAGACAGGGCTGATGAAGCAACATGGCGTTGCCACAGTCTGGCTACAAATCTTGCCCAATTAAATGGATCTGTTGTCTGACTTGCTGGTATTTATGTGCGCTCTGATGACATATTAATAATAACTTGTATCGTAAATTTGTGGCTAAATTGTGCAAATGTTTGCTTTGGCCCAGCTCCATGTGGGCAGGTGGTAATCCCCGAGCCGTCAGCGGACAATGGCTTAGTTGACCAGCTGCTGCTGGGTGGCTGTCGAGCGAGGTGAGAGTTCAGTTTGTTTAGTGGCTAAATCATATAAAAATGGCGACTGTCTGCCATTGTCCTGCGTCATCGCATTTGTTGCTGTTGCTGTTGGCAAATGCTAAAATAAATATCAGCATACGATCATGCCATGCGACTTGAGACGGGCATCGCGGTCACGGCGGTCATGGCGGTCATGGCATGCTCTTGGCATCAGCAGCGCCAGCAGGCGAGGCATTCGCGGTTAGCTGGCTTGCAATGTGGCATTATTTTTGCATCTGTTGCAACAATGGGACTCAAATATTGAAATTGACGTTCGGGGCTTGGCCAACATCTGCGGCACATTGTAACGGCAACAACTAAACAAACGGGCGCGTGATGGGCACACAGCTTACAACGCCCTGCCGGAAGTCAAATAAGGCGTTTGATTTGCTTTTTTCGCCTCTGAGCGTATTCTTTTCCCTTGGCCCTCGATTGGGGCATGCCTCGACGATTTGTTTTCCTCTCGCCATCTCGCTTCGACACGCCGCCGCCCCATCGCTGCAAATTGGCTTGGACCGACGACATGCAACAGCAATAATCGAAATCCCTTTTAAGAAGAAGGCAGCAACAGCGGCAGCTTGTGCCAATAGCTGTGGGTGAGGCTGCGTACCGAGTTGCATGTGTGCGTGCGTGCGTGTGTGTCTGAAAAGCAATTTGGCAAGCGTTCAAATTGCCATAAAAACATGCCATAAATGCAGCTGCAATCAAAGCCAAACCAAGTCAAAATCAACAGGCGTAGCCATCGCCGAGCACAAAGGACGCTGCACAGTGGAGCAAAGGTCGACAGAAACACAAAAGCAACAGCAATTAAATCAATCAATTTATCTATCAAATTTAAAGTTTTTGCGAGCTAAGATTGTCTGACAGTGGGCTATAGTAATTTAATAATATATATAATATATGCGAAATAATTAATAGCACCACCATGAATGAAACACTTTTCTGATTTATATTCGATATTAGTTCTCAATAATACTTAAAATATGTATGTTATTTATAAATCTGTATTTTATAATATAGCTCCCATGGAAGCCATAAGTCAAACTTCAAATCAATCAATTTTGAGTATTAAATTGTTCTTTTGGGAATCTCAAAATAAAATTGAATGCAACAACAGTAGAGCTTGTGCCACTGTGCGCACTGCATGGAGGACAAGAGAAGTTTGCATTTTATATTAGGCGAAATTCGTATGTGAACGAACGTCTTGTGGCCACGGAGGAGGCTAGTCGACATCTATGCAGCTCCAGCGCGTGGGCGGGCTGTATGCTGCTCAGGAGACTGAGGGAAGCATCCAGTGCGCCGGCTGCTGGCTGCCGGCTGCCTGATCCCGGTTCCGTGCTGGCTGCCCACTCCCGCACGCGTGAATGAAAATAAATACACATAAGTCAAATATAAACACATGTCCAATGCTCCAACTCTGGCGGGGAGTCCGCCAGCCGTTGTCGGCAGCGTCACGTTGCCAACCCGTCTCTCCCAAGCCAAACCCGGCCCCAGCCCCCGAGCGCCAACTCAACCCATTCCATTCGCTCTCTCCCCCTCTCTCTCTCACACACTCTGTCGCTTGCCATTCGGACCAGATTTTTGTTTCTGTGTGCTGGCATTTGGCCAGAATTATTATTTGTTCACTTTTATGTTTGTCTGTGCCTTTTCAATAAATATCCAGATAGGCAAAAAAAAGAATGAAATGAAATGAAATGAAAAAAGAAAGCAGATTCAATTTTTGACATATTTGAGGGGAGCGCTTGATCGATATGGGCCGATCGGGCATGGAATGAATTGAAATTGGAAATGAAAGGAAACGATCATGAAAATTGAAATGGTAAATGGGAACGGGAGTGCCAGTGGCAGTGGCAGTGGCAGTGCGGGCAGCGAGGGGCTCTGCGAACATGTTCGCCTGCTGCAGGCAAAATTTGCTTTTAAACTTTATAGCTGCATTGTCCAAGTTAATGGCCTGGCCATTAGCGTGGGCGATCGATCCAATTGCTGATCTGCTGATAATCGCCACCCCCGCCGCCAGTTTTGAACCCTGCCTCGAGGTCCTCGGATCACTGAAGCGTGTAGCCATTTAGATATTTTCGAATATTTGAAGTTGATTTCAGGTGTTCCATAAATATATATATATATATATATATATATATTTATATATAAATATTTATATTTATATGCACATATTGGTTCATGAGACTATGTAGTTGTTGGCTACAGATTTATGGCTTTGCTTGTTTTCTCATGGCATTTATGATCGTTGACTTTTATTATTTATGCACAGTACATATGCACACGATCATAAGTATATTCACACACACATATATATATATATATACATATATATATATATATATATCCATATATTTATATGGCAATATATTGTATGATCGTTTGAGCTAAGAACTGCATCCATTCGATTTCAGGTCGCATCCGTCGTCTTTATTAATAAATCCACAAATTAAGCAGAATGGAAAATGTGTAAATTATAGAAACGCCGTTCACGCGTCATTAAGCGGGGAGAATACCATAATAAATGTATTTATAGGTATTTGGGTGACTGTGACGGCGTCGTCTATAATCGCCGCTGTGACACTAACCGAGAAAAAAGCAATGTGCCCAGCAGAGGCGTGTCGCGCCGCCCCCTCTGCTCCTAACCCCTCAATCGGCCAGGCAACTTAGAGAGAGAGAGAGAGCGAGCGAGAGAGAAGAGAAAACAAGCGAATGGCGACTGCGACAAAAGTGTGGTAAAAATATACATTTAATATTTGGTACATTGTTAGCGGGAAGATATATTATTGTGTAATCGTTCGGCGCCCCTTGCCCCACGTCCCACGCCCCCACTTCGGACTGGCCCCGCCTTGGCTTTCCACTTGAGACAGATGGCAAAACAACGTCATAAAATGCAAGTAGAACAATGGGCCACAAATTTCAGATCCATTATATACTATGTGTCAAAGTGAGCTGCTCGCATTGAAATATGAAATATTTCAATAAATTGGACCATCTAAATTTAAGACAATTACCGCCAAGAATCATCCTTGTGTGGGGCAAAAAGTAAACTCATGTATTTATATGCTTAAACGATGTCACTTCACTCAACATGTGATCTACCTGCTCGACATCGATTCAAATCGAATGGAATTCTGGGCATATTGCTTATGTTAAAACGCATGAAACAGGCGAAAGGAGACATGGCTTAGCACATATCTATTTATTCTCGATCAATATCAGTCGCTTTAGCCTTGCCCGCAAGTATCGATACCTTTGTTTACTTCCATGAAACGACATGAATTTAAAGCTAGACTAGAGTCAGAGACTTAGTATAGAGTAGAGACTATAGAGTATAGAGTATAGAGTATAGAGTATAGAGTATAGAGTATAGAGTATAGAGTATAGAGTATAGAGTATAGAGTATAGAGTATAGAGTATAGAGTATAGAGTATAGAGTATAGAGTATAAAGTATAGAGTATAGAGTATAGAGTATAGAGTATAGAGTATAGAGTATAGAGTATAGAGTATAGAGTATATAGAGTATAGAGTATAGAGTATAGAGTATAGAGTATAGAGTATAGAGTATAGAGTATAGAGTATAGAGTATAGAGTATAGAGTATAGAGTATAGAGTATAGAGTATAGAGTATAGAGTATAGAGTATAGAGTATAGAGTATAGAGTATAGAGTATAGAGTATAGAGTATAGAGTATAGAGTATAGAGTATAGAGTATACACAAATAGGATACTTTTCCCATATGTTTTGTTTGGCTCATATACAGATTAGTAATGGGTGCAGGTATGGCCAAGTCGGGCATTACCGACAAGAACAATTTTACTTGTTTCTTCTAATTTTCAGATATGTAAATGCAGATAAATTAATTTCTTACTGAAATGTGTTTTTGTTTACTTATTTTGAAAGATAGTAAACAGCTTAATGCTTTGGTATCGGATCTAGTTAAGAAACAACTGAACAATTGCAATGCCAATAAATGACTTTAGATATATTAATTCCACTGGGCTGTTAGCTTATTAATTTAATTTATTTATACCTAGTTGATAAAAGAATATTGGCTTTAATTTATTCATTTAAATATTTACAGTATTCAAACTCGATTTAGTGAATGGAGTTATTCCATGAGTCAAACATACTATAGCTTACTATACATATATCAAGCTTTGGCTGTATTGGTATATCTGGCAGAATGTCTGAAGTAGACTAGGAATCAAATATGCTTGAACATGTTCGAGCAGGAAAGTGTTGAGCTGAAAA